AAAACCCCCCGAAAGGGGCCCCTTGACATTTCCCCCCCCCCCCCCCCCCCAAGATTTAAAGGTATTTTTATTCAGTTCGTTATCTTACAAAGTAAAATTCAGTGTTAATTTATCTTTAAATTGTATCTTTCTTTATAAGCCATCTTTCTTCTGTCGTTTAGTCTCATCCACGTAACTCGCTTGCTACCGAGACGCAATTATCACAACTGCAGGGTGGTGACGACGGGAAAGTCCCCATCGTTGACAACACGCGTAAACAAAAACAATGTTTCCAAAGAGAAACTAATGGCATTTGTGCTATCAGTCTTGAATTAAGGACGATAAAACAGAACAATTACATCATCTGGAGACAAAAGCTTGACCATTTTATTAAAACCGATCACCGGGCGCAGGTCTTTTTTATTAGCGGAGGAGAGATCGAACATATCTTTATTCTCCTGACGGTGGGAATTCCACGTTTCGCTTACATTATGCGAGCAGCTTTAACGCGTAAATTATTTCATGACCATTACTATTTAAAACGTACACATCGTTGTCACTCAAAACTTATTTTAAGACCACGTACATGCTTCACATCAAACACGACTCTTTTTACAAATATATTTTGCTTTATAATGATTGTACAGTATAAGTTCCGCATGACCTTCAGCAACCTTGGTCCCAGTATATACTGATCACCACCGTCGATAATTACGAAAGATACTTACTGAGTTTTAACCTGTTCGTGGTGTGAGTTCAAAACTTAACGGATCTGATAACTTATATAACATGAACATCTGAGAGATATGTAAAGAAAGATGGAGAAGATGTCCCCAGCCTCTATACTCACCTTCCTCTCACCTTCCTGACATTCAGGATGACGAATGGTATTTCCAAGGGGAATCCCCTCGGAGTCCGCATCGGTGAGGTCACGTGACAACCCCTAGATTTAACGGTGTATTTATTCAGTTTGTTATTTTACAAATGAAAATTTAGAGTTAATTTATCTTTAAATAGTGTCTTTCTTTATAAGACATCTTTTTCTGTCGTTTTATCTGATATACATAACATATCAAATATCAAATGTGTCCCATAAAGACAAAAAACATCCATCTACACAAAGATCATATCGGGATGGGGGCGTTTTAGGCCTGTAAAGGCTTACAGGAAGAAGTTCCGCCCTGGCCGAGATATGACATATGTTCACTAAGGGTTCATGGTAAAGGGTCCACTTTCTCAGACCCCCTCTTTGAAATGGCTGGCTGCGGGCCTGCATTAGAAGCGAGATTGTCAGAGCTTATGGCGCATGCGTGACAGTAATTTGCAGTAGCGGATCCACGATTATCTGAAGGGGGTGGGGGTCCGCGAATGCGAACCCGAAACCCCCCCCCCCCCCACCCACCCACCCCCGGGGGTGGGATTTAGGGCCCGCTGAAGGGCCCCTAAAATTTTTGGTATTTTAGAGCGAACGGTGTCATTTGATACGGTTTAGAACTGTGATTCAGCTAGTCAAAATTCTAATTTCAAGAAGGGACTATTGGTGTGATTTTTTCAGAAATAGGAGCGGGGTCAGGACCCCCTGACCAGAGCCGCGTTTTGCCGATATAAACGGAGTGCTTTATGGCTGTGTGATATAAAGTAATGTCGATTACCTGCATCTGAATTTGTATAATCCCGAAGAACGATGTTTTGCAAGGCTTTATAAGATGAAATGTGTTAAACAAAGCATATTTTAATTTAAGTGCAAAGCAGTTTACCAGTGACAAATTCAGTTTTGATACAGAAGACTGTAAACAAGCTAGCATTTGCGTGCTCATTTGAATTTATTAGTAGTTGAATTAAAATACAGAAATAAGAAGGCATCCCGCGTGCAGTATAAAGCTCACATTTACTATAGCTCTTGCGTACCACTTTTACGCCATAGCTGTCCTTGTAAAGTACATTAATGCACACAAGCTGCTGTAATTATAAGTTGTTGGTATTTGGGTATAACAGATGTTTGCAAAAGCTATGGCTCTATTCCCATAGATTTTAGATCGATCTATCCCCGCGGGGAGTCTCACTAGATTATTTTCAGATAATCCGACTTAAATGTCCGTCCCGCCTACTACAAGCTGTAATGGGGTAATTAACTTTCGTGTCCGCCCGGCTGACAGCTATTTAGCGTGAACCCCCAGGGAGTTAGGTCGATCTAAAGTAGGTCGATCTAATCTATGGAAATGGGGTGTATGACAACATTTATATCACCAGGCTATTAGTAAAACATTGGTGTCAAATTTTTAACACACCTGCATTTTACAGATTCCAGGGTGTCACAAATTAGCTGCAATTTTTCTTGCCGCTGAGATATATGGGTTAGACGATAGTCCACTTAAATATATCTTGAAGTCCAAAAGTATCTTTGTCATTTGATTCTCAACTTTGATTTTTTTTCTGCAAATTTTATCTTAAATTAAAGGTCTTAACTTCTTGCCTGTTGCATTTATTTAATGTATCTTCAAAAAATCTAATTTTGCTCGAAACACAGCTCCAATCGTGTGATCGTGATCGTGTGACGTAATATTGGGATTTTGGGGCAAAAAATATTTTCGATTTCCAGATTTTCTTAGGCACCTGAACAGCTATAAACGTGCTTTTAATGGTAGTATAACACCTGAACAAAGTAATGCAAATGGGTTCGGGATTTTTTCTTTAAAGACTTACCGTTTGATTTCATCTATAAAAACGTGATTTTTAGCCCTATTTGAGTATAGTCCCACCTTTACTAATAAATTTTAACTTAACATATATTCAAGCCAAAGCATCTTTTCAGGAAGATCAAAGAAAGCAAAAGCAAAACACCTTTCCTAAAACTTTTTTAAAGAGTTTTGAAAGGCTGTTGTAGTTCACTGGTATGTTTGAACAGTTCAATTCAGGACGATTTTAAGTTTGGGTAGAAAGGCAGCCGGTATGAAGCATAACATTGTTGTTGTCCTCAGACGGGAGTCCCTTCACTGTGCCCTTCTCTGCAAACTTGTTGATCAAAAAGTTGACGTCGTCAACAACGCTTACAGATGGTTGGCTGTAGAACCCAGCATCGCGCAAAACCTGTAACATTCCCGCGGCTGCACCGGCGACGAGAGGGGACGCCATTGACGTCCCACTTTTCTCGGTCCAACCGTTGGTGTTTGCGTAGTTGGCGGCCCTGATCTTCCTCCCTGGAGCGTAAATATCGACACACGATCCGATGTTACTGAAGTAAGCCAAGTAATCATCTATCTGGGTGGCGCCAACAGTGAGGGCTCCGGTTACGCTTGCCGGGGATTTATTACACGCATCGGCCTTGCCGTCATTTCCAGCACTGACTACCACCGGGATGCCTGCATCCAATACCGCGTACACGGCGTCATTGAAAGTAGAGGAATACGGACCACCCAGTGACATGTTAATAATTGACAGACGCTTGTTTTGTTGAACCCGTGACTTTATCCAGTTCAGTCCTGCCAGGATGTCCGAAGTTGAACAACCCGTCGTGCCGCATACTTTGACGGGGATTAGGGTGACCTCCTTGGCTGCTCCATAGGTGGCGCCTCCTAAGGTACTGGCCACATGGGTACCATGACCTTGGGAGTCCTTACTATCGGAAAAACGACTTCCGTGCCACCCTGGAATAAGCACACGCAGATCTTTGATGAGAATTCTCCGCCTGATTTTTATCTTGNAACACACACACACACAAGCATCCCCCTCTACCTCTCTATCTCTCTCTTCTGTTATTTAAGTTAAATTCAACTTACCTGGCAGAACTCTTCCTCCGAAGTCACTGTGACCAGGGTTAATTCCCGTGTCAACGACGTAGGCGTCTATATCAGAGCCGAGAGCCCAGGTGGCAAAACGGTCATCATCCTCATAGTAGTCTATTCTGTCTAAATTCTGCATAAAAAAGTACGGAATTCATATCAAAATACATCTTTCTTTTCTTGGTGGATATCAGTGATGTTGTTTCTTATATAATAACAGGGTAAAATCAGTTGTACTCAAAAGAGAGACTGTATGCCGTATGCAGTATATAGTGTCCTAAAACACACAAACACACACACAAAGAAACTCAAAACATACACATACACATGTGATGATATTTACCCATGTTTCATCAGACGGGAAATACCCTTCACAATGACTTAGATCTACCGACATTTCCTTAGCTTGTTCGATTTCTTCAATATCGCCAGTAAGTTGGCGAAGCAGTTGAAGGTCACTAGAAACAAAAATGATGTACTTCAGTAATAATGATAATTAAATTTCAGATATCAGGACAAAATGTGCATATTTCAAATAAATTTGTTTGGGATTTCTTCCCAAAATATTAGCATCAAATAAAGTTGAACTGTGATATCTGAAATATCATAAAAAGATGAAGAAAATATCATTAATATTGTAAGAAAAATAAGAAAATAATCAAATAACGAATATTATACCAAATCAAATGGTCACGTAAGTCTGAACCAGTGTTCTCCATGGAAAAGGAGAGAGTTGACGAAAATCATACCTAGCATTTATATCCCTAAGAATGACGTAGCTGCTTTTTCTGTTGAACTTCACTCTTTCTTTGGAACCTTTTCCTTTCAGGATGCGACGAACTGTAAGGGGAATATGATTTAAAACTGTACATTGTAAGTGTAAAACGGGCAGGTAGAATATATTGATTATGAAATAAGATATTTTATAACCTAATCTCGATATTTAAAACGACAAAAGACTTATAAGTACGGTTAACTGCATCTTATAGCAGACACATCTGCATACAGATTATAATTGATTTTATACTATCTTGTCATCTGTTCTTATATCGTTTTGAAAGTAATCTATTGAGTAATTCATTTTCTTTTTGGTTTAAAAAATCTTATGTACCCTATAAATCGCGAGTAAAACAGGTATGCCTTTTAGTAAAGACTGTGTAACTAGTTTTGGCACCAAATTGTAAATTTCTCTTTTGTGCTACATGTATTCTGACAGATAAACACAAAACGCCATCAAATACCATATATTACAGGTTTGTATAGGAATAATGTATCTGCAACCGGACTAAAGGAAGGTTCTTTCCTGTCGCTTATCATCTTTACTCAAATTTTAGAATTCTTGGATTTCTGAATATTTTAGCACATTACGCTGCCAGTCTTCGGGTGCATGTCAATTGCCAAGGTTTTGTCTTTGCTCGTGGGGCGCGTTATAAACCAGATGATCCGCGGACCTACATGTGAGAGAATCAAATATGACGCGAACCACTTGAAAGCGTGTCGAGATTTAATTGGTCTGCCGGGACAGCGCGAGGGGGAAGCGGGAATCCATTGTGAAGAGCGCGTAATATTCGATCCACGGACTAGTTGGTCCTGGGATCAACTGCTTCTGAATACGCTCATTGAGGTACATGCAAGGTAGATGTATGTGGGGCGTTCTGCTCCTTAAAGATAGTTGTTTACTACTAAGCATAAGTGCGGAAATGAAACTAAATTGCACGGAATAGAATTTTGCAACAATTTAAAGCGGTGCACCTACTTCTTCCGTACTTGCCACCAGGCAGAAGGCGGGCAATGTATTCATTGGGAACAGCCGTACCATCCGTGGGGGTGATCAGAGGCACTGAAAATAGAAATGCAAAGTGATAACAACAACTTTGATAAACAGATGCTATCAAATATCATCGATTTGCCAAATGGACACTATTTGAGTGGTTTAAGAAACAAGTATTAAGAAACGTAACAGGGACTATAAGCCCGCTACGTACCTAAACCTTCCTCCTCAGAGATGTCTATCAGGCCTTTTGCCTTCATCATCTTTTTCATTTCTGCGGGGTTTTCCCTTTGCATGTTCTTCAGTCTTCCGTTCTTGGGAATTTTTTCCTTCTTTAACCTCAGTCCGGGTGGCGTCTCCTCACTCTCACTGGCATACACCTGCTCTAACGCGAGAAGCATAAAAAGCGACGAGGCAAAAAGCAAAAATTTCATAATTGTGGTTCTTCCCCTAAATTGGTCGTTTAACGATTGTCGGCTGTACAGAGTTTAACTACCTTCACAAATCGAGAACCGTTGGTCACTTCTTTTACCAAAGCAAACTCGAGATTCGACCGAGTCCGTTAAGTGAAAATGCTTGGGAAAATGTGACTTAAATACATTTTTAAATGTCACCTTGTTAAATAAAACAGGTCGAGATGTTTGGTTTCGGTCCATTAAATGGCGCAAGGCAAGGCAAGGCCTTAAACACGAAAGCTTGCAGCTGTTCACAGAGTTGAATATATTAATAGACAAGGAAGAGGATTTTGGTATCAAAATAAAATCCATTAAGCACACATTCCCAATATTAATAATAACAATAAAAATAATTGATTCTCATACCTTATCACCGGTATATAAAATCCACTTGCTGAGGCAAGGCAGCATTTATGGGTTTAAAGAGCACTCTTAGAAGCAAGCTGTCTAAAATGCAGCTGTTCAATGCGATCAGCGTTGAATGCACTTCATACATATATATGTCATAGAAACACTGTAACTTTCGGAATTACATGTATTATACAAAGCCAATCAATTTTAAGTCTTCTTATTGATTATGAATTTTAGCCTTATTGAAAAATTATATTAAAGATAGCATTTACTCAGGATAATTCTGTGGAAGATCGGGTAAGTAATGTGGCTTTCGGTTGAAAACATGAGCTATTTCATTGTTTCTTACTGCTTATTTTGCTATGGTGCCGCTAGAAGAATACTATATCAGTCTAATTTAAGTGCTCTTTTGTCGAATCCATAATTGGTTTCAACATTAATGTATAAAGTGTGTAGGTGTGTGTATATGTATTTGTGCGTGTTGTGCGTGGTTGCATAGGTCTATGTAAGAACACCAGATATATAGTTAGCTGGCTGTAGTATCGTTCGTTTGGTTCTTAGCTGTTTTATCATATTCGTTGTTTTAGTGCCTAGGGACAAAGACAAACCAAGTAAAATATTCCCGAGAATGGACGCAAACGAGAAAAGGCGAAGGGCATCCACATATACTAACACAGCCCAATTATTTAAGTTGCTTAGTCAGGAAGGTACATGTAGACGACTAAGAACATATTCCCTATAGCGTCACACTCAGAATGGAAATTTTAGCTAAGACCTGCGTCGGGAAGCCAAACAGCGGAATGCATTCTGCTCAAACTTGTATTTGTATCCTGCATTGAAAAACCATTAACTGTGTGTGTGAGTGTGTGTTTGTTCGAAAATAGTAAAACAAAGACTGCTGCATCCAACATGATGAACCTAAGTCGCATTCAATTGATTGCCCGCATTTTACAAGTTACATTTTTATAATTTCTATGGCACTGATTTACTTTCATCCACTATTAAACCAATTATATTATCAGTGGATTTCACCTGAATCCACCCTTAAACCAATTATAAAATTAGTGGATTTCACCTGAATCCACCATTAAACCAATTAAAATATCAGTGCATTTCACCTGGATCCACCATTAAACCAATTAAAATATCAGTGGATTTCACCTGGATCCACCATTAAACCAATTAAAATATCAGTGGATTTCACCTGGATCCACCATTAAACCAATTAAAATATCAGTGGATTTCACCTGGATCCACCATTAAACCAATTAAAATATCAGTGGATTTCACCTGGATCACCAGGTGCAAACGTTACAAAGTGTACACATATAATTTAAATGACTTTCGTTGACAATCATTCCATCGCGTGCCTCTTAGGTGTCTCCGTTCGAGGCTACCGGAGATATTCGTATTTAAAAACAATCTGCTGAATGCTATCGCGTACAAAAAAAAAACATCAAAAAGAGTTTAAACATACGGGGATATACACCGATTAATGCCGGCGTAAAAATAAATGATGTCCGGCAGGAATATACCAGTACCACTGGCTAAGGTCCGGGTACAATGTATGACAGAATATCCTTGAATACGCATGTCCATGGAACATGTTTTAACAGAGCTCCTTGCTGACTTATGTATGCATAATACCAGTATATCACTTTCACATTGGGTTAACAAATAGCAAAAGCAAACCAATGATGCATTTTGAGTTAAAAAGAATGGCACTTTATCACTTTTCCTTATTCATAGTTTTATGAACTATCCGGTAACAAGATACCAGCAAGCTAAGAAAAGAAAACAAATGAGCTTTGAGTACATCGTGCGCTTTAGGAAAATTCCATCTGTTGTGTAATAATATACCATTCGAGAACAAACGTAGGTTGTCAATTCAAATTAAAATTTTAGTCCATCGAACTGATAGAAAGCGTAGTTAGTCTTTGAGTGCAAGTATGATTTTCTTTAGTGTCAAAAGGGAACAATGGCAAATCACACGAGGGTTTTTTTACAGTTGGTTAATTTTACAATAAAAAAGACCCTTTGTGATGTGGATTAAGGCTGCAAAGTGGGCTTTTTGCACCATCCAAATATGATGCAATGGAAATAATAATTTTAATTCTTTAGTTTTAGGAGACAAATAGAGATGTCGAATATGTAAATGACAAAGTAGATTAGAAAATAAGTAAACGCCTGATCAATTCAGAGAAATAAAGCATAAATTCCCTTGTGTTTTTATGAAAGTGAGATAATAAAGGCTTATGAAGTGAGGAATATAAATGGATATAAACCCAAACTTGCCGTCGTCAATGTTACAGTTCTTTCCATTCAAACCCATGGGTAACAACTACCATCTGGTTAAAGCTACCGCTGTATGCGTTTTCAGCAATGAGAGATTGTAATTCCGTTCCTTGCAAATCTCGGAATATCTCGCAGCACTTGTTGTACTTGCAGAAGTTCCAAACCACTGATAAACACTGGAAATGATGTTTTCACGTGTTAAAACACATAAGTTGCGGTTAAAGAGACACAAGTCTGCATCATTAGGTATGCATCCTTAGTTTGTCATAGCCTTCCAGGCCATCCATCTGCACTCGGATCCATAGTTCTTGACGGACCAGCCTGTCAACCAGGGCATGTATTTTATTTGCACTGTATTTTATCCTAATGAGGCTTTATCGTTACCCCGATCAACGCAGACAGGGAACCAGGTATTTTTTCATTTACATAACTGTTTTACAACCATACAAACAGATTACGCCAGCAAGTTTATTGATTTGGAGGGTAGGCTACCGCTTGCTATAACGACCAAAGGCCTTTACTGATACAAAAATGAAAAAATGTTGCACAATCATAATTTGAGTAACTCTAATACAATTATAATTTGAGTAACTATCAAGGGCTTATGTGGTCACTACAAACACAATGTCAAGAACTCATCAATGTCTCTGCTACAACAAGTTCACAAGGACATTTCATTTCACCAAATATTAAATATGTCCTTCTTCAGAAAAAGAAAACAAAAAAGATTCAATTGATTTATCTTCCCTTCTAACTAATACATAGTTAAGTGAAATTGTTTATGTGCTTATACTAACGCTTAACGAGGAAGTAATTTTTTATCGTAATAATTAATTGATACTAAACGAGAAGTCATTTTAACAGCAGGTGATGTGGACTTGTGAAATGGGGGCCGTAGCGACAGTCCAAAGGTTCAATAGTCCGAAGGTTCATTGGTCCGAATGTTCACTATAGAACCTTCGGACCAATGAACCCTTGATTAAAAAATCGATGAAAATGGTACCATTTTTCGGGCCAATGAACCTTCGGACCAATGAACCTTCGGACTATCGAGACGCCCCCGTGAAATGCCCCGGTACATAGACATTACAAAGACTGTGGAGGGCAGTCAGGATTTGTCCTAAAGAAACTTCAGCTTCATGAATCGGTAGCTATAAGTTTGTAGGTTACCAAATATTTCGACAGAACTAACAACAGAAAGTGGAATAACGTTAAAACGAAGAAACAAACAAACAAGAAAAAAGAAAGAAAGAAAAGGGAGAAATAAGGGGACCGTTTTGACTGTGATGCGGCAGCTGGGAAACCCGACTATATTTTCAAAGATAATTATTTCATTCAAGTTAAACGGCTTTTGGATCGTTTCAGTCTCAGTTATCTTTTGGTTTACCCGACTTCTGGTGTGTCATTGACGAGTCTGCTGCTACGGTCTCGATTAGAAATGTCTTGCACACAAATACTCTTTTTTGTCTGAAGGTTTGAAGAATGGCATGCTCTCCTCATTTAGGAGACTCAAAGATGAAGATTGTGTGAACATGCTCGGTGAATTACGTCTTTACAAGTGCTGTATACATCGCTTGAAATGGTTTTCCTGTCATATATCCTCAGAAAAGAGCTTTCCAAGAGTGTAGTTAAGCGACAAGGAACTGGGGTACGTAAATTATTACGCAGAAGCCAGGTTATTTATGTTCCTTCTCGGCGGCAATCGCCACCAGTTTGTACCTGTATAGCATAACGACCTACATGTAGTTGAGGATTCTTCATCATGATGTTACATTATTTTTTTAAGCTACATGGAATTTATCATTATCTAGCTTCAAAAATAAAGATTGTCATTTGACTTACGTTTTTGAAACAGGCATCTAATTTTAATACATAAATGTACGGACCCTCCAACACTAACGTCCCACAAGCAGAGATTAATTTTACAATGTGGCAACGCGACAGCTTTGTGAAGTTTTGTTTTTTATTTTCTTAATCTTGAAACTGTAACTGACGGTTTTTAAGAAAATTCACGGGCCCAGTCGGCTTTTTCACTGGCATTTTTTTAAATTTTATTTTCAACATGATATAGTAACATAGAATTTGTTCACTTTTAATGTGTATATAGAGACTTGAGGTGACTGAGAATAATTCAAAAAGTCACGAAAGAAAAAATATATATATATTCAATGATACTTCAAGCAGTCTTTTTTTGCAAGTTTCATCCAGTTTCTTCCCTGAAATCTACAAGTCAAGTGGCTTTTTTCTGCGTGGACTATTCTTCTTCCTTTCTTGTACTATGTCAATCAGAAAAGAGGGAA